TGTCCCTGGCTTGCAGTGCAAGTTTTCAACTTGTAAGCCCACTACATCTGCAAGTAATATTTGGCATGCCCCATGCTGGCAAAGTATTTTTAAGTCATTTTTGAGATCAAATGATCCATCTCTTCATGCGATGTGCATAACTTGAGCTCTAAATCATCTGACTTGCCAAAATCAACTGGACAGTGAAAGAGAGGGAGTTGTATAGATTCCCTATCAGATACATAAGGGTAGCAGTTCATGCTAACAATTCTGTAAGACTTCGTAAGCTTAAACACTTAACATTATCTTGAGGGCTCATCCTTAATGACCTCCTTTGTATTCAGATAACCAGTGGCATAATGGCATTCAAAATATTGCTGAAATAGTTAATATTCTCTGTAGGCACCGCTGCTCCATACTGAGCTCTCTAATTTTGACACGCTACCAGGCGAATACTACAAAAGTAAGTGGTGAGTGGAATGAGGTGTAGTTTTTTGGCATTGTGTTGAAGTTAGGTTGACTAAATAGGTTATTTGGTTCTAAGCAATAGACCTAGTAAACTGGGTTTATTTGCTGTTTAATACATACGGTTTCACGTATCACACTCTGCTTTCAGTGCAGCAGATAAGATATCAATACAATTAAAAGTGAAAAATAATCTGTCTGCTCTGCCAGTGGTGGATGCTTAGAGAACACACGCTGATACAATAGATTTCTGAATAATTTATATTCAGCATTTTTTCCTTGCACTCGGTAAATGAGGACGCCTAATGTGGCATGGTCAGAGTGATACTCTATCTGTCTTCCATTAAGATAACAAGATTGGTGGGCCTGGGAGGAGTGTGGCCTAGTGTGCCAGAAAGATGAGATTAAAAATTGAATTGTTTGTCCGAAATGCTTTGTGTAAAGGATGCCAATAAAAGCAGCTCAGAAGGACGGAATTAATTAATAAGTGTGATTTCTGCAAAGCTTTGTTTGTCTTCACTAAAATAAAAACACAAGATTCCTTTAAACAGTTGTGGATAAAAGGAATATTAGAACAAATCACTATTCCTGATAGGTCTTCAGTAGCTTACTCTACTTTAAATTCAAGTTCTTTGTAGGTGCTATCAAAAACAATTACGTATGACAGTAATGCTTTATGTCTCACAGAATGTTTTTTTTTTATATTCATAAGGCATTTTAAATTACAAAGAAAGAATCATTTGTGCTTGTTTTTGGCACAGGAGTGTCTCATCTCCCATCACAGGATTTGGACGGGATGCTAAAATATTTGCATAAAAATCGCTCATGTAAATATTCTGCCAAACAGATTCCTTTTGAGGTGAATGTATTACAGTAAGTAGTAGCTTGTTTTCCAAGAGCCAGTAGGCACTTGAAGTTGATTAATTTATAAGCAGTGGTGGTTTTGCTATCTCTGAAGTTTCTGACAACTTCTTAAGGTTAGGTTGCATTCGGATTTTCTTGGTTTTTGAAGAAACTGTTAGGGTTGTGAGATCAGATGGAAGTCATTTGACAAAAAACACTTGGAGGAAAACTTGGGCCTGCTTCTAGCTTTGCTATTTTTAGTGAACAGGCCAGCGTATTATACCTGTGCTATCTGGAACCCAGCCTTGAAATGGCTTAAATGTGTTTTTCTTATTAATCGGGCAGCAAGTGCCCGCTGTGCCCATCCCCGTGTCCTGCGGAGTTTTCTCTCGCTGCAGAGCTGCTGGTAACCAAAGCAGGTGAGGGGCAAACCCCCGCAGAGGCATAGACAGGATGCTGTCTGGTTTTTTAGCCCAGTATCAGATTCAGGAAATGTTTCTGGGCATGACCCTATTTTGCAGTGCCACCCAAAACTTGAGTCTGCACAGGACCAGGCTTGTGGAGGCGGGTGGGGAAACTGAGCCCCAGCACCCAGCAAGTGCTCCTCGCCTGCTGGTGCTTGAAGTCCTGTCACTCCCCCTGTAATGGCTTTGGGGTTTGTATGCAAAGAAATTAAATAATATTTATAATCTGGGCATTCTTAGTGCCTGTCCAGAGGAAATTTTAAAGGTCAAATCTTTTCAGTAACATATTGCTGAGGTTTTAAAATGAGCTTGCCACAAATCTTAGTAGAAATAGTATTCCAGTGTTGTCTTAGGGAAGAGTGCTTGGGGAGTGGGCCCTAACATGCTGTTGAGAAACAGGTCCTTAGTTTTGAGCAGGACCGCATTATACCTTTTTTCACCTGAATATTTTACGGAAATAAGTTCATTTTTCTTTCTGTTTTGTGAGTAATTCCGGGAAGAAAATCAAATACAGGTGTTAAAAAGTAATTTGTAAAACAACAGTCTAAGCTTCCACAATTAATATCCTCATCTATATCTTTCACTCCGTGTAGGACATTGCCTGGGGAGGTTAGGCTGTTGAAGAAACTGTCTTCATTTCGACCTGGAGATCTGCTTTTTCTGAGTTTGTTCTTAAGCCTTTTATATTAGTAATCAGTTCATGAATGCTTTATACTTGCTGTCTGCAGAAGTTGGATCACCTTTTTGTGTTGGGCTGCATGGCCAACTTCATATGGCAAGGACTGAGACAGCCTCCTCTGCTTTCCGTCCCGATGGGCTGTAATTAAACCCTAGGTTAAAAGGATCCGGAAGCTGCGTCTAAATATCAGAACTGATCAATCACTGGGCGTCATTAGCTACTGGTTATATTTTGGTGAAGTACAGGTATATTTGGAGGACGCTGTTTACTGTTTTCTCTGTATAGGGTGACGCTTTTGAAGCTCGTGTTTCGTTTCAAGTAGTGCCTGTGTCAGTAAACCAGAAGTCTCTCAAGCATGGATGCAGAGCAGTCTCTGCCCTAAAGCATAAGCAGGCAAAGAGGAGGCTTTGGGGGCTGTTTTTTTAAAATTACTCTAGTTGTTCAGCGTGGTGAGACAGTTGCTGCACGAGGGGGTCATTTTTGTTCGTTTGGGCCATTTTGTTTCCTGCCCTGTCAGGCTGGTGGTAGGAGAGTTACTCCGTCGGTGACTGTGGGTGTTGATTTACATGCAGCACTGGATTAAGCCAGGGTGGCTGCAGGGGAAGCTATCAGTCTTGGCTTCCCCTACCTCTTTCCAACTAAAAAGTGGTGACCTAATAAGCCGTATAGAGACCCTTGAACCAGCACAGCTCATACTTTCTGTCTGTTGAATTAACCCAAAATAGATGCCATAGACTTCTCAGAGTTCTAGTTAGCATCCTCAGCAATTGCTGCAGAGCCGGGCATCGCAATTAGGGGAATATCAAAGCAAGAAAGTAGTAAGTGAATATTACCATACATTTTCTTCTTGGCAAGTAAACAAATATACACAAGCTTGTCATACTTTCCATTGCAAAGATTCAAGCAGTGTTAATGATCAAAAGTGTGGAATATAAAATAGCAGTGTAATTGATAACTTAGAAGGTTTTAATTTTCTAAACAAATAGCTTTAAATTCTTCTTCTGTGTCCGGTTAAGGAAAAGAAAGAAGTGAAGAGTTTTTATTTACCTCTTTGATGGTAGTATTAAATACCTTCTAAATCAGAGGAGTTAACCTCAGGATGAGGCTTGCCTGTGCAAGAGCTGCAGAAAACTGTTGCCAGGGGTTACGTGATTAAGGAGGCATTTTTCAGTTCTGAGTGAATTTGAGGTATTTTCATAACATTAGCATCTATAGCATATTGGGTGTGCAAGGAATTTATGACCAGCCCTTACTGACTGTGCCTGCCCTACCACTCCCTAATCATATGGCCAGAAACTCTCCCAGTTAACTCTGAACGATAGGGCTTTTTGGCTTTTGAACTACTCGCGTATCTCGGTGAGTGCTTCTAGGAGAGTCAATTTTATAGCTTACCATGATTGCATCTTTAGACAAATGCATTGTGGGCACAGAGCTATCGTCTGCGGCATCAAGTTTACCGCTTCCCTGTAGGGTGTAAACATGTGGCTGGTTGAAGAGTTTTAACCTCTCAAGCCCTCCAACAAATATTAAATTGCTAACTATGCTTCCATAATGCTGTGATGGTGACTGAAATTTGACCCTGGTGCTTGCTGAAACGATTTTCAAAATCTGAGTGAGAAGGTTAAATAGTGCTGTCAAATTTCCAAATGTCTGTTGCAGAAATGCTTTCGCTGAATATCTGTGGGTGGAGCTCTAAAATACTTAAAGTAATCCTCTTTTTTTTTCTTCATTATTATACGATATTATCTAAAGCTTGGTTTTTAGTGCAGATAAAGAAATTACTTGGGTTTTGCCTTTTTTTCTGTGCCAGCTAACCTTGCCATTTATGGCTGGTTTTCTCTCTTTTACTTGCTGAAGGAGGAATCCAGTCAAATGGTGTTAACCTTAAGTACAACCAGGCCTCTAGTTCTCTTTAATTTCTGTTCAAGATCATTGTAATTATTTGATTATTTTCACAGCTGTATCTGAATAAGAAAAAAATGCTGTAATTTTACAAGTTCACAACTCAATAACCTGATGCTGGAACTCTTCCACCTGCAGAAGCCTCATTAATTGCTGTAGGAGTTCCAGCAGCTAAGAGACCTAGGTTTCAAATTATTTCTCTTTTTATGTGCAGCCTTCGAACTAGAGAATCTCTGCAGTAACAAAAATAGACGGGACCTTTAGGCTGAGAGAGGCTGTTGGTTGTTGGATGAGTGTTTGACTTCCAAGTGGATCTGTTGGGGAAGGCTGTTGTTTACCCATCTCATTACTACATCCATAAGCCCAAATCATTTCTATTTCAGCTTTTTTGTAAAATCTAGGGCTTCATTTCCTGAATGCTGTTACTAGTTCCAGTTTTGTTTATTTTGGCCTTAGGTTGCATTATTTAGTTAGTTTTTATTTAAGAGATGAGTCTTATGTTGCAAGAAACAATACTAAATTATAATAAGACTGAGTCCTTAAAGATGCCATACTCCAGCCACAACTTTGAATTTATTTTGTTATTTTAAAGCAATGTTAGTGCCTGTCTCGAACGGTTATGGGAAGAGCTCAAAAGTTTATTCGATTTCTTTTTTTCTTGATTTCAGGGCTTTTTCCGCAGGAGTATCCAGAAGAACATGGTTTACACATGTCATAGAGATAAAAACTGTGTTATCAATAAAGTTACCAGAAATCGCTGCCAGTACTGCAGACTACAGAAGTGCTTTGAAGTGGGAATGTCCAAAGAATGTAAGTTGTCTTCAGAAACAATTTATTGTTTGTCATATCCTTATATATATGTGGCAGTCCCAAGGGAAGAAAAACATGATGCGATGATGTGACTGAAGCCAGTATCCGCATTCATATGCACAGAAAGGAGTATGAATCTAACACACAACTTCAGACCTGTACTTTAGAAACTTCTGATTCGTTAACTTTGAAGCCTAAATGCCATCAGTTAAGAACTTTTAGCGCAACACGCTGCCTGTGCGACGTGGCCACCCTGTGAGAATGCCCAAGTGGGTAATTTCCCCAGCTTTTCTAAAAGAACAAACCCACAGCTACTTCCTTTAAGATTGGATTATCTCCCTTCTGCTTTAGAAATGGCTTCTTGGGGCAAGGGCGTAAAGGGAACAGCGCTGCCTTCTTAAACGCGGTTTCAGTCCTCCCTCTGGCCTGCAGACCGGCTCGTGTCTTGCTGGGCTTGGTGTCAACCCAGGATATCATTTCACGAGGGCTTCCTGCTGGCTGTCATGCAGCAGGCAGCAGCCTTCTTCAGCCTTGCACCTTCTCCCTCGCGCCAGTGCAGGTGCTTGTGCCAGGGGTCCTTCTTTTGGTGGTAGTGCCGGTTTATGCCATTTTACAAAGTTGAAACGGTACAGTGGCTTTGAGTCTTCTGTTCTTACCAGTTGGAGCCTCTCCGAAAGGTGAGGCGAATCCTCTTCTAAACGTGCAAAGCCAGTAAACCTGACTACATACAAGTGCTGCCAAGTGCACAAAAAACCCAAAGGATTTTCCTCTCCCTTCTGTTCTAGAAATCTCTGGTTTGCCCTTTAAATTAACATTTTAAAATATTTAGGTAGAAATCTGTGGGTTTTCTCTTTTTCCAGTTTATTGATACCCCTGTCAAGCATGAAAATTTAGCTAAAAAAGCCATTCTCAAATCCCTATGGGGTAATGCTTCTGAAACTTTCTCATTTTTGATTGGAGTGATTGCAGTAACAAAAAAGTCTTTGGTGTAGTGATTTATTTGATTGTTGAGGGTTTTTACCTCTGTCAGTGATGTTCCTGATTTCAGTAGGTCAATTCCAATAATAAACACCACAGAAATTTGCAGTGTGCGCGTAAGAGAGGGGAAAAACATTGCCCAACACCTCTTCTTTACTTTAATTCACCCACAGGAGTTCCTCAGAGAGACTTTAAGACCAGATTAAAAAAAAAATTAACACTGATGAGACATTTATGACAGAACTTTGATTTAAATCAGTTCTCATCTTCTGCTTTTCTCCTTCCTGAATTGCATGGGACTTCCCAGTAGCTCCCTTCTCTATACTTGGGCAGGAGCCGAAGAAGTCCCAAAGTCACACTGGTCCTTCTCATTGCATCCCTTTTTTTCTCTCCCACCCTCTCCTTCCTCTCCTCTCAGAGTAAAAGTGTTGAGGAGCAGAGAAAGAACCAGATACATCTTTAGGACCACTTTGCAGTGTTTCCAGCTCCTTTTAATGGAAATCTGAAATTGCGGTTATTGAAAAGGGCCGGTATCAAGTTTCAGGCAACTGGGGGAGCCAAGACATCTTAGGATTTCCATGATTTCACTGTCCTTGTTGGGTTTTCTAGTTTTGTCATGTGCCTGAACTGCACTTATCTATGCTTATGTATAGATTTACTGGAGTGGAGACCATGATGGGAGTAAAGGAAAAGGTAGGCTAAATACAAAGATGCACAAAGATGTAAGATTGAATGAGGAGGATTTTATTGATAGGTATTTGACCGCATATATATCTGTGCACATTAAGCTTTTTTCCTTGATAAAAACAGTATGATGCAGTTTGGAAGAGAAGACAAAACACTTTTCTCACCTGAGGGCTTGTTGGTCTTGAATTCTTAAGGATTTTATTGCTGACATGAAGTAGTAATCTTACTAAATGCTGTAACGTCACATCAGGGTTAAGTTTTGGAAATACCAGCAGTATTTCTAACATGTTAACCAAAGTTACTTAGGGTAAAGTATGAACACTTATTGCCTATTAGGTGATGGTTTGTTTTCTCCCATAGGGTGGCTGGAGCTTTGCTAGCAAGAATTAAGGTTTTGCTCTGCCTGTTTCCTTGGGTGAACTGAGTGAAATTGCCCTTTGGCAGTTGCCTTTATCTCAAACCACTACAGGCACTGAAAGGGATATAGCAGGTTGGAGGGGGGACAGAGGATACTGGGGAGAAGTGAGGGATGTCCTCTGGCTGCATTTCTGTAGGAGGCATTTGCAAAGGAGTAGAGAAGTTATTTTAAATGTCAGCAGTTTGAATGCCGTGTGTCTTGTCTTCTGGGTTTAAGAATTAAGTCTGAAGTGATTCCGTGTTATCCCTTCATAAACAGGAGCTTTTCATCTCTTAAGAGGTTTGAAAAACTATTTCCTTATCTGACCTTCTTTCATACATGTCTCCAGGTTTCAACTCCATTTCTTTAGAAGTTTGTGTAAACAAAGGCACATTTGTCAGTGGGCTTTTTCTTAGCAGATAGACGTTTTTCTTTTCCCCCGGTACCTTATTCACATTTTGTTTTTCTGTCTTCTTACAGTTCTGTTACCTTGTAACATGAAAGCCATGAACAAAGGACAGAAAAAAGTTTCAGAGAAATCTTATAGGGAAACAAGCCTACAATGCTCAAACCAGTCCCAAATGGGGAATGTAATCATGGTGGGCAGCAGCAAATAGGAACCCCAAGGTTTGTTGCCAGGAGCTAAGGAGGAGTAAATGTAGAATTTCAGTATACAGAATAATCTGTGTTTAAACACTACAGTCCTGTGTTTATTTGTTCTGCCTTTAAAGGGCATGCAAAAGTACTTGCATATGCGACTCCTTTTGAGCTTAATGAGCGTCACACACAAACATCAGAGATGAGAACGGGCTGCCTAGCCAGTGTGATAAGTCAGGATTTAAGAATGGAGGTGCAGTGTTTTGGAAGAGAAGAGGTACCGAGCATTTCTTCTATGCTTTTATCGTGTTTTAGAGAATTAAGTGAGATGATGAAGGAATGCACCAAATTTGCATTTCTTTATAGGTTGTTGTGTGGGAAAAAAACGTTATCTCTGACCCCATGTTAGTCCCCAGATGTGATCAAGAGAGGTCAATAACAAGACTGCCTCCAGGGCAGGAGTGGAGCTATTTGCCTTGTGATAATATCTGCAGGACCCGCTGAAACTGGATCTCACTAGTGTAGGGACTGTCTTCCATTGTGCAGTCACTGTTGCAAAAAGTTTGTGCTCCAAACAGACAAGACAAAGGGTGTGAGGGGAAACGACTTAGTGACGACTGTCTTATCATCCTACAACAGGGCAAAACACAGCTTGAAATAAAGCCCTGCTGTCTTTCATCAGATCCCCCTCCTTCAGAAACTCCGGAGCTTCTATCCCTGCAACCTGAGCTGCAGCTCTCAGTGTAACAGCCCGGAGCCAGCCATTCCACCAGCAGTGCATCAGGTTTTGGGTTTATTGTATGGCTGTCCCACATCCGTTCATGCGTGGGCGCTCAGGAGTGTGTAGGTGCAGCTGAGGCTCTGATCCCCACTCCAAACCATTTCTATCCTTCCTACCCTTCCAGCCTGTTAATTTTTTTAGTTAACATGTAGAGACAAATGGTGATCACATAGGATTCTTTTTTTTTTGCTGCTGCTGAAGTGAGAAGGCTACTAAGGCTGACAGTGGCTCATTATGTGATGGAGAGCCTTAGGAAACTAACCTTTGCCCTTCTATTACGTGATCTCTAAGCTGATGTTGAAGCACCATCCTTGGCCTGACCCCAGGTGTCAGCAAGAAGCACACTGCTGCCTGGATGCACGGACCTCGGTCCTCGGGAGCTGGCGAGGGGTCACGGGTACGGCGCTGCCTACCGCAATTAAGGGAGCACGCGGGAAGCTGGGCAAAACTCTCGAACAATAATGGACACTTTCAAGCAGGATGCTGGAACATACGCTTTGTAAGGTGAAGCCTGCCCTTAAAGAAAACCTAAACTGGATTTATTGCAGGGTACAAGGGGGAAGAAAATGGAGCTTCCCTCTGCGACAACTGCTCAGTTTAGCCCAGCAGCTCTTCCATTTCTGTCCTTTTTTACAAAATTTGCGGGCTGCAAGGGCTGTCACTGTGCTTGATAATCTTTGGGGTCCCCCTCAGACACACATCCAGCCCACATACCACGGTGTGATGCAGAGAAGCCCTCCGTACTGGCATAAACGTCATCTGCAGTGAGCTCTAATAGAGCAAAATTATGTTTATAAAGGCACAGAATTATTGTTCCAGATTGCTTCAGTGCACTGAAGAATGTTCAGATTTGTAAATCTGCTTACAATTAACCTCTCTGGAGGGAGGGAAGGAAGAAGGGAGGGAATGCAGGGGAATTACCATGAAGTGGAGAGAATCCAGTTTTTGTGCTCCGTATTTGTTTTTTTTTAAACTTGCACAGAAATGTCTGTTACTCTTTGTCACAGACTTCAAAGTCTTATAATATTTAAATGTTCATGCTTCTCAGAACATATGATTACATTCTGCTACTGAACAATAGAATGAATTAATTTACTTATTTTAATTCTGGTTTAAATTGGCAACCAGCAAATATCAGCTTGAAGAACTGTCATGTTTGTACTTTTTATTTTATATTTCTGTTTCATTTTCTTTCAGACTCCTTAGTGAAGAGCGATTCCACCTCCAATGAGTGGCTAAGTGGAGGGCTAGCCTGCATAGTTGTATTTGAGAAGTTCATGCAGATTCCACTGATGTAATTTTAAAGTGAATAATTAGAATGCATGAAATCTTTGTTTAGATGCTTTTACTCAGAACTGAACTGTTTTTTTATGCTTTTTAGCCAGCAGAAAGCACTGGATTTAAGAATTGTTTCTGCTTTGCTACGGGCTAGATTTTTAACTAGATGCCTAACTACGACACAGTGGCTGGGGGCTTTTTCAAAAATTCCAGCATAGTTGCCTCGTCTGCTGGCTTTCTCCAGAGGCACAAGCTAAATATCAGAGTGGAAATCACAAACCC